GTAGGATCATTAAATGACCTGTTAAATTATGTACATAATGCATAACACTTGATACTTCATATCCATGTGGATTTGTTTCTGGTGTACCCATATATCTTTCAGTATAATGAGTATCATATCCATCCCAATGTGTAACTGGTGCACCAGCAATTCCTAATTTAAAAACTTCACTTGCACGAACTAATGCCATAGCAGCCATATATCCACCATATGACCATCCATACATACCAACACGTGTTTTATCTGTTATACCTTGTTTTACAAGATAATTTATACCATCAATTTGATCTTCAAGTTCTAAATGTCCCATATCATGTTTGATTTTACTTTCAAAAGCTAAACCACGATTTGGACTACCACGATTGTCTAAACGCAATACAACATAACCAGATTCAACTAATCTTTGACAACGCATATCTGCACGCAGTGACCAAGAATTAACCACACTACAAAAAAAAATTAAAATTTAAAACTATAATCATCTTATATTAAGAAGAAAAGTATATACCGTTGAAGATGTGGTCCACCATAAACTGAAACAATTGTTGGATATGGTCTTTGATATTTTGCTTGTCCATCATCTGGTTTATAAATAGCACAATAAAGTGTTTCATTATCTCTACTTTGAATTTTTAATAATTGAGGTTTAACAAAATGAAATTGTTCAATAGCTTGCAATTGTCCTTGTTGTAAATGATCTAAGTTTTTAATAATTTCTCTCTTTTTAACATCTAACATTCTTATAATTGGAGGTTGATCTATAGAATTCCATTGTGTTATACAATATTCATAATTACGACTAAAACCATGAACAACATGACAACCAGCTTCTTGTGTTATACGTTCTATTGTAGATTTATCATTATTATAATTAACACTATATAAATGAACTTCAAGAGGTGTTTCACGATTAGCTAGAAAATAAATAGTTGAATTTTCTTCATCAATATCAATAATATGTTGTACAACCCAATCGCCATTGGTTATTGGTTTTATTAATTGTCGAGTATTTAAATCATATAATTCTAAGTGCATAAAACCAGTTCTTTCACTAGCCCATATAAATTGTGTTGGTGTTTTTTTTAATGTATGAAACATATCATGTAAATTAATCCACGATTGACTTGTTTCTTCAATTAATAATTGTAATGTCTTTTTATTTATAAAATCATATTGATATAATCCTAATTTTGTTTGTTCACGATTTTCGATTTGTAAAGCTAAAGTACCGTCAGGAAAAAAACTTACACGTGCAACGTAATAATCATCAAATGAACTTAAATCAACCCAGTGAATATCAGGTGTTGTTTTATTATTATCTGTTAAATCAACAATACCAACAGTAACATGTACATTTGCTTTACCAGCAAATGGATAACGATGTTCTTCAATTTGATCAGCATCATCAGAACCGGAATGTGAAATACGAAAGATTGGAATATTTGATTCATCAACTTGAGTGAATGCAATAAAATGTGAATCATCAGACCACCAATAACCATCACTACGTTCCATTTCTTCTTGAGCAATAAATTCTGCTAGACCATTAGTTTTATTTGGTTGACCACGTGCATCGAATGTTAATTGACGTGGTACAGCTGATATTTCTGTTGTTGATACACAATAAAGTTCACAATCTTGAACATAAGCAACTAAAGAACCATCGGGTGAAAGTTTTGGATCAATAATTGGTGGTTGATTAGTTCCATTAACCAAAAGACGAAGTTCTTGACCATTATGAATATAAAGATCACTACCAATTGGTATAAGCATTAATGATTGATTTTTAGTTTTTGACCATTGATAACGAGTTATACCAGTTATTAATTGACGTTGACGCTAAAAAAAAACAAAACACAAATTATAATGTCTCTTGTTTATTTATATATAACAGGTTAACATTGCTAATATATCTTAATCTATGTCGCAAGATTCAGATGAACTCAGTTTTAGGAGTTTATTCTTTAACTTTTCTCTCTTTTTATTTCGACACGAACATTAGTATATGCATGCTTACAGAATGCGTGATTTAATCACTTGATTTATATACGAAAGCTTTGCATGCACGTTTTTATGATATCTACTCAGGATAAGTTTGAGTAAAACTGCACGCGTCATTACAACGAGATATATAAATTATGAAACGATAATATTACACATAGATTTATATCCATTCTCAATCTTGTTAAAGTTATATTGTTATTTCTCAAGAAAAAACTTTCCAAAACAATACAAATGAATTATTTTAACTACTGGATCAAGCAAAAATTTCAATAGCATGTTTTTCTTCTTTCGAAACCATAATAGAATCTAAATAGTATCTTCTATGTTTAAAAAAATAGAAAAAACCCTCTTACTTCACGTCGAAGTTTTTTCTTCCATTGAAAGATTATCTTCTGCTTGTTCATTATTTCCATCAGGTTCAGCATAAATAAATTCTTTATCTGTTTGAATATTATATCCATAAAGTTGTCTTGATAATGTTTGATTCGGAGAGCGAAGATAAGTTATAAGGTTGTCATCAGGACTAAATCGTATTGATTCTGCTAGGTTAAAACCAGGCGGTGGCAATGATGCGATATCTTTACTTGTTATTGACCTTTGAGGCATCTACAACATAAATTATTATTTCATTCCATATACTCATTATTGCACAATGACAAAAAAAAAATAAAAATTATTTGATTGCGAGAAAATAAAATTCAGAACTTTGAAATTGTATACACGACATCGAAAAACGATATACAAAACGAACAGAAGCAATATTTAAAAAATAAATAAATATATATGACATTTAAAGCATTGGTAAATTGATTTTATCAGATTTTTATTCAAATTTCTTTTGTTGAATTTCATTTTGAGATTGCTCATATGATGGTGGCATCTAAAAAAATATTCTTATTATAATAAATTATAATAGAAAAAAATAAAAAATAAACCTGGTGTCCATTCATTTGTGGAATATACATTTGTCCACCAAAATTATTATTTTGATAAGCCTGTTGAGGTGGATATTGCATTGGTTGCTGGTATCCATTTGACATCGAAGGATGTCCATTAGAATTATTTACATTTGCTGATGGCATTTCAGGATATTGCGGAATAAATTCTGCTTTCGGTAAACCTGTTGGTTGACGCTGATAAACACCTTGATATGGTGCTTGCGCCGGTGAAACATACATATTTGTTTCTAAAATTTAATCAAATAGAATCTTTTACATAAGGAAAATACTGTTATTTTTCTTGTGATATTTACCTGCAAAATTATTAGGCGTATTTTGTGCTGCTTGATATGATGGTGGTGGTGGTTCATAAAGATTAGCTGCAACCATACCATAAGATCTAGAATCAATTAAAAAACTAGAAACAAATTTTTTAAAAATAAGAAAAACTCACGGTGGAGCTCCTTCAGTTTGACGATGAACTATAAGATAAAGAAGAGAAAAAAAAAGGTATTTCATATTGACATTTTTAACATTTATGACTCACACACTGAGTTAACCTCACGTAACGCTATGCTCGCATCGATGGCACCACCCGATGAATAAGTTAATTGAAATTTAACTTCACCTTGAAATCCACCTAGAAAATACAAAAAGAAAAGAATATAGAAAGGTCATGGACATCATATAATCTTATCAATTGATTAATCCAAAGAACACTATAAATAATGATGCGTCCATCAACAAAATCAATTCAATAACAAAAAATGCAGCATATCATATATATTATTTACTTCATTTTAATACACAATATTCAAATTATAATTAGTATTAAATCAGAAGTAGATTCTTATCGATATTTACAACAATTTGGTTATACATCTAAACTTGAAAGTCGACTATTTTCTTCTATTGCTGCTAAATCATCTGTGAATGATGGTATTAAAAAATTTCAACGTCTTTTTAAATTACCAGTAAGTTATTTTATGTAAAGAATTAATATATTTATCTTAAAAAACAAATTTAGGAAACAGGTGAACTTGATGCAAAAACTAAAAAATTTATGGAACGAGCACGATGTGGAAATCCTGATTTAGGAAGTGTAGAAACAGTTGGACGTCCTGTCAATCTTGATAAAGCTAGTACTTCAGTGTCAGCTAAAGGACGTTCAGCAAATGTTAAAGCACCTGCAAGTTATGAAGCACAAAGTATTATATGGCCGAAAAAACATTTAAAATGGTTTATTGAAGAATATCCAAAAAATCAAAAACTAATAACATCACAAGATCATACACGTCGTATAATAAATCAAGCTTTTCAAGATTGGGAAAAATATTCTGGTCTTACATTTGAAATGCTTAATAAAAAAGAAGGAGCTGATTTAATAATCAAATTTCGTTCGAATGATCATGGTGATGGATATCCTTTCGATGGTCAAGGTGCAACATTAGCACATGCTTTTTATCCAAAAAGTGGTGATATACATTTTGATGATGATGAAATTTTTACAGATGATTATTCCGAAAAAGATGAACAATATACATTAAGATTTGTTGCTGCACATGAAATTGGTCATGCACTCGGTTTAGCACATTCATTTGAACCCAATTCTCTTATGTTTCCTGTTTATCAACAATTTCAATCAGATTATGTTATATCACATGATGATCAACAAGGTATTCAAACATTATACGGTAAACCAGGTAGTGAAACAACTATTAAACCAATAAAAACAACAACTAAATCATCAATAGTAACGACTCATTCTACTAATATATTACCAGCTAATAATTGGTGTTCGGAAGATTTTCAAACAGGTTGTGAAGGTCCTGATAATAATCTTTATTTATTTAAAGACAATCTTGCATGGAAATATAATTCAAAAGGAAAACGCTCATGGGATCCACGTCCAAAATTAATCAATGAATTTTTTCCTACACTAAATGATACAACTATTACAGCTTGTGTTAAATCAGCAACTGGTTATACATATTTATTTCGTAATTATCGTCTGTGGAAATTACGAAATCATTGGTCTGTTGATGGACCACATATAATATATGGTCACCATTATCCTCAAAATCCTCGTGCTGCTTTATTTCATCAAAATTCAATTTATTTAATACGTAATCGTTTAATTTATCGTTTGAATGAATTCGATTATCATAAAGATTTAGAAATACTTACTATTGATACAATTCTTAAACCACCGCCAAGTGAATATATACACTCAGGCTTTACATATAAGAAACAACATATTATTTTTACAAAACATCATGTTTATGTTTACGATGCGACAACTGGAAATTTAAACTCAGGTTATCCAAAATCAAAAATAAATGGTTGGTTTGCATGTGACGGAGCATCACAAGCTCCGCACTTAAAAAAGAAAACAACAACAACAACAAAAAGAACAACAACAATGGCTCATCGCCGAGATCAAGAACGAGATGATCATCATCATCGTCATAGAGAAGACGATCATCATCATCATAGAGAAGATGATCACCATCATCATAGACAAGACGATCATCACCATCGTCATAGAGAAGATGATCACCATCATTATCGTCGTGAACAAGATGATCACCATCATCATGAACACGGACGACCCCCTCCAAAACGACTACATCATTATTATCGCGATGAATAAAAGACATACTATTTTTAAAAATAAAAATACTAACCGTTTGGATGTGCAGCAACTATGCCTGATATATAATTTGCACCTAATAAAGGTTGTTCAACATGTAAATTTTTCATATACATAAATGCTACAGCAAATGAAAGTAAATTATCTCGTTGATCATTGCTAAGAAATATCATTCGATGAGTTGTTACGAATACTTTTCCTTTATGTTTTCCACGAAATATTTCACCACATTCTTGATTAACATTATCAAATGTTAATGTTACATTTTTAGAATGATTAACAATTCTAAAGTAAAATAAATGATATAGAAAAAAAAAATAAACAAAATAATTTTATCGATTTACTTACTGTTCACCTTGATAAAGTAGTAGACCACCTTCATAATGTGCTTGATTAATCGACATAATTAGTATAAAGCTTAAATAGTTTAAATAAATGAGTAGTAATTTTTACTATTAAACGTAATAGAATAGAATGTACTAAAAAAAAAGGTCTCCTTTTACAAGTAAATAGACAAACCAATCAAAAAATGCTTTTTAGTTCGTCTACCTCGAATTATAATAATGATGAAAAGATTTATTTAGAATTTAGAAGATTATTGAAAGTATTTGACAAAATTAACATAGGAAAAGAAAAATCTGAATTATTTTTTAATTATATTATATAGTTAATTATACATTGGCGACATCTATCGAAAAAGAACTTTATACATCTACGCGCTATTCTCTCTTGTTTAATATTTATATTTTCAAATGAGTGAATATCGTAGTCGTTCATCACCAAATAATATAATAACAAGTAAAACAACTGATAATATAAGTCCAGAAGAATTAGAAGAATTACGAGAAGCTTTTCGTGTATTTGATCAAGATGGAGATGTAAGTAAGGAAACGATTTTATTGATGATTTTCTATTCACTTATATATTTTTTTAGGGAAGTATAACTCTTGCAGGTTATTTTCTTATATGAAATTTTCTATACATAAGAATATAAATTAATAGAATTACGTATTGTTCTTGATCAAATGGGTTTAGATCCAAGTGAAGAAGAATTACAAGATATGATTCGTGAAGTTGATGAAGATCAAAGTGGTAGTATTTCATTTGTAGAATTTGTTGGTAGATAATCTTTTGAATTTTTTATTAATTAATAAATCTCAATGCTTAGGTATGGTTAAAAAAACAGTAGATACAAATAAAAATTCACGTGAAGAATTATTTCGAGCATTTCAAGTATTTGGTATTGATTATTATTTATCAAAAAACATAATATCGAAAGATTGATTTTGAATAGATCTCGATCAAAATGGATTTATTACAATGGAAGAACTTCGTACAGGTACGAAGTTGTACTGAATAAGTCTGATAACTAATGATCTATTTCATTGTAGTTCTTCAGGCAACTGGTGATCGTCCAACCGATGAAGATGCTCTTGAAATGATTGCTGAAGCTGATATTGATGGTGATGGACGAAGTAAATACAAAAAACAAAATATTTTATTCTAAATAAAAACAATCAACGAATTTTCTTTAATCATTTTTCAGTCAATTATGATGAATTTGTTTGCATAATGAATAATAGTCTATCATCGAAAAAATAATTATCATATATATTTCATGGCAAAAAGAAAATCGAGAAGGAAAAAAAAAATGAACAATAACGCACACGATTTCAAAGAATTAACGTACGATTCAACCGAAAAACGTGTATGTACAACTGAAAAGAAAACTGAGATAATAAATTACACTTGTTCCAATCTAATACTTCAATAAATAACAAAATGAACAAAAAAAACTGACTCGGTCATTCAATTAAAAAAAAATACACATACTTATATATATATAACAAAAAATGAAAACGAAATATAGAATGACGAGAACAAAGTCTAACTTGCTTTTCTTTATGTATTTAAGATTTACTACCACAACATGTAGATTTTTTCGTTGTTTTATCTAAATCAATTCCCTTTACACGGTAACGTTCTAAATCTTCATTACATTGCATGTCTCTATAAAAAGAAATAAAAATTTTATTACTAATTTTATTAATAACATTTACCGAGCTAATTCTATAAGTGTTTCATTTGAATTAGTACCATCTTTTGCACTTGTTTCAATAAATAATGCTTGATATTCCTGTAAATAATTAATTTGAAAATATGGATTGAAGTTTCTTAAAACAAACTTTAGCTAATCTTGCTCCATCTTCACGTTCAATAACGCGTTTTCCTTCTGAACGCATTTGATCTCTTAAATCAATTTTATTTGCTACAATCATAACTGAAACTTTTTTAGGTGTTGATTCTGATATTGTATCAATCCATTCGCGAACATTTAAAAATGATCGTTCATATGTGGCATCATAAACAAGAATAACACCATCACATCGACGAAAATATGATTTTGCAATACTTCGAAATCTATAAAAACAAAAAAAAATTAAGAATATAATCATTTATTTTCTAACCTTTCTTGTCCAGCTGTATCCCATAATTGTATAGCTATACGTTTATTATCTAATTCGAGTTGTTTATTTTGAAAATCAACACCCAATGTAGAATTAACATTTGAAATAAATTTTCCTTTACATAAACGCATTATTAATGTACTTTTACCAACAGCTGCATCACCACAAAAAACAACTTTATACATACGACTAAATATAAAGAGATTATTTAAAAACACTGATAAAAGAAATTTTTTTCTTTATTTACTCAAATGGAAGATTTGATATATTTTGTTCTTGTTGGAAATCTGCTATTGATGATCCACTCTGTTTTCGCATAGGCATAATATTAGATGTAAAGGATTTATTGGTAGAACGTTTTAATGAAGAACGTCCATCACTAGATGTTCGTTTTATTGAACGCTGTTGAGACCATCGTTTTGGATTATTACGATCAAATGAATTCTATTAAAAAAAAGTTTTAATTAGTTTTTTTTGCATAGAATATCAATTAAAAATTTACCTCATCAAAAACATCATCAGATTCAGTATCATCATTATTACGTTTTATAGGCATCGATCGATATTGTTTTGAATTTCTTGACATTAGATTGAAATCACGATCGGATTCAAATTCAGTTACATCACGTACTGTTGTTAATGATAAACCACTATCTATTTACAAAAAATATTTAATTTGTAATAAGATATATATATATAAATATAAAAATTTAATTAGATTGAAGCTTTGCGAATAAGAGAAGGCATTTTGCTTTTTTTTTAATAATCATAGAAAAATTTTTTGATATACTATATTCGCATGCAAAACAAACCATTCATAGTATTGCTCCTATTAGCTGTATTAGTAGAAAATGAATTTGATATTGCTGGTAAAGCTTTTTGTGATGAACTTTCAGCAACATCGAGTGTAGATTTAGATGAATTTTTGTTTGCAGTTATACCTATTTCATCAGTTGATTCGATATCAAATGAATTGATTGTTCTAAGACTGGATGATTGTAGTTGAGTTGTTTGCATATATGTGGGTGATGTACTAATTTGAATAAAAAAATATTAATAAAAACTATTAGATAGAATTGGAGTTAGTTAGGATTTTTAGTTTATTTTTTAAAACAATCACATTCATCAATAACTTATTCTTTAACAATGACATATGTCCTACATATCATTATGCTAATGACAAAAGTCATTTCGACTGGTTATTTTCATCTAAATATTTTCTTTAGCCATCTGTCGTTGACCAAAAGCTTTTAGATCATAACAACTTCTCCGCTAACTTTCTACATTGATTAATGACTGTAAACTTAATTTACTCTCCACATGATATTTATTCTGTCATTTGCGAGGACTCTGCTAAAGAGATGCTATAAATTATAGGCAAATATAGAACTATTCTTCGGTTTTTGTTTTAACGAAATATTCTACCAATTTAATTGTCTAATATTGTTATCTATCACATTGAAGTACTGCTTTAAAACAGAGATTAAGAAGAACTTAACCTTCAGAAACAATATCGCCAGGTTTCTTTATATCGATCTGTTCTCACATATGTCAAAAAAAACTTAGAATGCCATGTCTGAATATAGATAGCATATAGGTGTGACAAGCAGTAGTTTTCGACAATAATATTTAGATTAGACGAGAAAAATCTTGATTCAGATTAGCCCATGATATTCTAAACTTTGACATCTCTTAAACTGAATAGAAGTCCTATAACTCATGTCAATCTTTAACCTTTATCATCGATTCTTTGTTTTGATGTATAGAATTGTAAGAAAGTTCATATTTTAAGATAATATAGTTAAACTTTTTTTTTTGTTTCTAGATGTAGACATACCAGTCCATTTTAGGATTATTCGTAGTCCAATAATTCTCAAGAATTGATCCAGTTCGAGATATCGATCGTTTTGATGCTAGAGGAATCTATATAAATTGAGAGACATAGTTTTGTTTTCTTTTATAATTAAATACATACATCGGAAGGAGAAACAGCAGATTGATTTGATTCAATCGTTTCACGTAATGTATCATTTTCATCACGAAGTTTTTTATTGACTTCACTACAAAGAAAAAAGATATGTATATATAAATTTTTTTCGATAAATCTTATTTGACATACACAAGTTGACGAATATTTGATTGTAATGATTCTTTTTCACGATAACTATTTGATGATGCTTGTTTTTCTCTACATTAAACATTCTAGTTAAATTTATAAATCAATTACATATGTTCTTACTGTAATAACATTGCTTGTCGTTCATTGAGCTGTGTTTTTAATGATTGTAAATCACTTTTTAATATTGCAATACTAGTTAATGAATCATTTAATGATGAATTAAGTGTTTGATTTTCATGTGTTAATTTCGAAATGTCTTCACGCAATAAACCAATTGATGAATCTTCATTTGATTGACGATCAAGATAACATTGTTCAATCTAAAATATAGCATTACTTTTATTTTTAGTGAGAAAAAAAACATTTACAGCTTGTAAACGTTGAACATTTGCTTGTAAATCAGATATTTGTTTTGATGCACGTTGTTGAATTGATTCTCGTAACGCTTCAAATTTTTTTTGTTCCTATTTCAAAATAAATATTTATTTTTAGAAAATAGTTATTTAATAAAAAATAATCACAGACTTCTTTACGAATTTTATCTTCTAATTGACGCATTTCACGTTCTTGATCTTCTTCCATACGTCTTAAGTAATTTTCATTCATTTCTTTTTCTCTGTTTATATGTATATAAAACAAAAGAAATTATATATATATATATTTTTTTCGTTTTTGTTTCATTACCGTTTATATGAATCTTCTAATCGTTTAATCTCTTTACGATATTTAATTATATCACATACAACTACTTCAAGAATTGATCGAAATTGTTCAACTGATTCACTTGATCCATTTCGTAATGTTTCATAAAAATCATAAATTTGTTCTTGACTAGAAAAATTAAATATTTAAATAGAAAAACAAAAATGTTTTTTTTGTTTTGCTTATGAAAAATATATGTTGGTCATTTATTATATAAATTTCAAATAAAGCCTTTAGCTGTTATTTATTTCTTTGAAAACTATCTATTTAATCGTCAATATACATATAGATGATGACTTACTTGGAAAAAATATTTTCGATAACATTATTCACCTCGACTACATCCATCATCAAATTTTAATCGATCGAAATAGTTACAGTAAAAAAATGTCTGTTATTTGTGATGAGAACAAAACAACAAGGGTCGTTTGTTACTGCCGTTGTCGTTACGATTATTCTTCTCTGTCTACTCGCTTTTTTCTTTTCCTTCTCTTCTTCGTCTCCTTTCTCTTTCGAATATGCACAAATCCATACACAACTGTGTTTATAAAAATAACACGTTATTCCTTTAACTAAGTAGTCAATACTTTTTACTTTTCATTCAGGTGAGCGTTTGTAAGAACGACTGTAACTGGAAAAGAGCGAAATGTATTCATCGATATATATTGTAAGTGTTGACATGATCGAATAACAGTCAAGATAAATTTTCATATTATATACTTAAACATATATTTATATATGACCTAGTTGTGACATAGTAATATGAGAAATATTTTAATAGTCAAAATGTCCTAACTAGTTCTAATCGAATTAATCATCAATAAAATGTATTAAAATTATTATTATTTTTTCATACCATGATAGATTATTGAATACTTCATTGAGTTGTAATTGCATCATATCTGTATCATTTCCTTTTATAAGTTCTTTAAAACCACGTGTAAATTCAGCCAAACTTATACGATTGTCATGATCTGTATCGAGATCACGAAATATAATTTCAATTTCCGATGAAGATAAATGTGGACATATATTTTGAAGTTTTTCTTTATTAAGATAGCCAGTTCCATCTGAATCAGCTTGTTGAAAAATTTTATTGATGTCATCCATTATTAAATATACATATATAAATATTAAACCCGTATAATAAATAGTAGATTTTTTTTAACACAATTATTTTGTTTTGTTTTATTTTTTTTTCGTGCTGCCTATATCTACGATACCCTGTAACGACTGAAGCAGATGTTCGTTATATTCTGTGAGAAATAGCGATAAATGAAAGACACAAGTAAATAGAGACTAGGCGTTTGTGAGTTATAACCATGTAAAAAAACAAGAACGAATGATTATTTTTTCTTTCTTTTGAATAAATTTAATATGATTATATCGATAAGGGAATACAATAATAAAAAGCTGATAAAAAAATTCAAAAAAAAACAACATCGATATAATAAACTAAATACTTAATTATGAATCACCTTTGACTCAAACTTCAAAAACAATATTTATGTTAAATCGTATTTGTTATATGATTTGTATACAATAAATATTATTATTTATTTAGCTAAGACAAGTTTTATATGATTCTTTATTTACAGCTATAAAAAATTTATTTTATACTTGATATAATGTCATGTGTTTTTTCGTATTGTGCCAATCATTTTCTGTTTTACTAATGCTGAAAATGACGAAATTCGAGTACACAGAATGTTGTATATGTATTACTAATAAATTATTTTTTTTCTGGTATCAATATAATAATAAAAAAAGTGTTTACTAACAACAATATTCGTCGATTCCATAATTTACAATAAATTTGAACAGAATATAACCTATTCTACAAGAGGTATTGAATTTTTTGTCATTGTTTCAAACATTTAATTGATTATATCGATCGAATAGGTCATTGAGATATCATAATAGCATATGTATTGCATCTTTCTTTTGATAAATTTATAACTACATGAATTAAATCAAACATCTATCTTATCTGTCGACTTACTTACCTAGTATTTTTTTTCTCAAATACTTTTTATAGCGAGACTAACATTTCTTGTAGTCAATTAAATAATATCTCATTTATAAGCTTTATTGATTTTTTGATGAATAAAAAAGTAAAATGATAAATAGATTCAAATGTATTTACGTGTGTAATGAATTCTCTATATGTTTTATAAATCATCACGTCTCAATCATGAATGTCAAAATAGAATAGAGTATACAAAGTCCTATTTTTACTGTATATAATTGTCGTAGAGAGTAAAATTCATATGTGTATTTATGTGTTAATTGTAAATATTTAAAGAAAATGAATGATGCTATTCTTGAATATCAGTAGCTTCCGACTGAACAGGACAACAGAAAAGAATTTTGATGTGTTAGACTGGATATAGAGCATTTTAAAATTGCATAGACTCCTGATTACTTTCGTTGCTATATGTAAATTGAAGAAATAAAAGATGTAATTTAAAACAAATGTCATGGAAATATGTTTGAGACATCTTGATGATTAGAACAAAAGTGAATAGAAAGAATTTTTTCTAAAGATTCATTTACTTTATCAGCTACTCATACAAATTGATGTGGAGTACGTTGATATCAATAGAGAATTCTTTCAGTTGATTGTTTTAAATAAATTGTCTTATGAAGTATTTGCTGTCAAAATGAATTTATAAATGTCATCAGCTAAGAGAGATACTACAATTATATCAAATACTTCAACATTAACTTAAGATAAAAAGCTAAAATTTTGAAAAAAAAATATTAATCTTTGAATTTATTCTCAGTTATTATAGAATGCTGATATTGTAAAAGAAAAAACAAAAATATTTCTATATAATGTTAATCTGTATATATTGCAAAAATAGTTGCAGTAGCCATCATATCATATCCTAATTTTGTTTGTATTGTGACGGATCCATCTGTTTCATGATTCCATAGACATCGCGATACAATAGCCATTGATTGACGTTTTTGTTGATCAGGTGCTACTTGTACAACAGTAGCAAGTACAACAATTTTATATCGAACATTATTTGCTACATCAGGTTTAATAACTTGACGTAATTGATGTGATAATTCTCGAACAAGATCTATAGCTAATTTTGGATCATAACGAAGTAAATTCGATATACGACTACATCGACGAATAAGTTCTAATTGAAGAAATTTTTGTGCCCGTATAAAATCAAATTTTCGTTGAGGACTAAGTGCAAATGTTGGTGCACCGGAACTTTGTATACTTAATCTATAGGCTGTATCCGAAGTTATACTTTTTTGTTGATGCCAAGTATTATGCCAGAACGGAACTGTTAAACCTGTTGGTATTTGTAATTCATGAGCTTGTTTTGTTAGATTTACAGCACGTTGAAGCATCGCACGAGTTGTTATACGTTTTGGCTCCATTTCTCTACTTACTGTTGATATACTTTATCGATATTTATTTTACAAAATGTCTTTGCAAAAAAACAATTAGAAACCATAGGTTTACTTCTATTTAAATTAGACATGCACGCAGTTTAACGGAAGCTAAAACACGTATAGTTTTATATCTGTCAATCATTCCTTTTTTTTTCTTTTCATTCATTTAGAATTTGACAGTTTAAATGAGCTTCATTTCTTCTTTTACTATGTTTATGTTGAATATTTTTAAAAATAGAAAGAAAATAAATGAGAAATATATTATACAATCAAGTTAAACGAAACAAACGAATAACTACACAACTCAAAAAGAAAATGAAAGTGACTGTCGCGCACTGTAATTGAAACAATGCAAACATACAATGAAGAAAAGAGAATAAGATAAAAAAAAGAAACCACATGAAAACTTACCAGAACAAAAATAAGTTTACCTCATAATGAACAAACATAAAATACCACGGCAACCGACAGCTTCGTCGCATTTTAAAGAAGAAAAAAATTCCTGTCAAACAATTATACCATGTCGACGACGAGAAATTTCTCCAATTGAATCAACATTAACACATATGTCGATAACACTAAGTACAACACCAATTGATTGGAAATTACGTTATGAAACTTTACAAAATCAACATCAACTTGAACTTGAACGTGTTCGTCATCATTATGAACATCAACTTAAAGAAAAAGTAACAGGTAACTTGAATATATATAATAAATCAAAATAACAATAAAATATGACTTTTTACTTTCTAGAGATAAGAACACAATTAAAACATGAATATGAACAACAACTGTCTGAATTTCAAGCTCGTTTATTTGAACAACAACGTCAACAAATACATAATTTAAGTTCAAGTAGTCTTGGTCTCGATCAAAGTATAGGTGATCAAGTTCGAGAACAAATACGTTTAGCACAAGAAAATGATCGTAAAGATGAGGAACTTCGACAATGTTTATTAAAACAATCAACTAATAGTGATGAACTCAAACAAATTATCAATAAATTACATAATGAAGGTAAAGATATAGTTTAAATTTTAATTGAGAAAGTTTGAAGTTAATATCTCTCGATAATTAAAATATCTTTTGTTTTTTTTTAGGTATACATGTCTTAACCTTAAGTGAACGTCTTGCATTACAATTAAATGGTATAAATATCAATACAAAAGAAGTTTCACTTGATTCATTACAAAAACTAGATGAAGAAAATTCTTTTCTCCGTTCTTTTATTGCTAATATGAATGCTAATGAAACTGCTGATAAATTAATAAAATCTCTAGCAGATGTATTTCGTTGCGAACAAGAACGTCGTATAATACAAAGTCGTCAACATGCAAATTCTGATAAACTTGAACAAGATATTCATGCTATGTGTAATTATCAACGTGATGCATTAGCAAAATTTTTTCCTCAAGACGGTCATTTATTAAACAATGAATTTAATAAATCCAAACGACTACAAAATCAATCAATATCAAATAAATTTTATTTCAAATATATACGTAGTGAAAATTATCGAAAAGCCTTAATATATCAAAAACGATATCTACTTGTTTTATTAACTGGTTATGCAGATACAGAAACATATGCATTAAATGAAATTAGACGTTTAACTGGAGATATGAAACAAAATTCTTATCCTTATCAATTTCAATATGATAAAATGAAATTAATTCCTAAACAACCATATCATAAACATTTATATAATTATCGTTTTCGTTTTCGATATTATGTTAGAGTTGTTATTGCAATTATTCGAATGCGTTGTTTTGCTAAAAAATGGACTCAAAAATTAGCTTCTGGGAAATAGATTATTCGTTTTTTTTTTGTCTTTTTTGTATCTATTTTATTGTTTTTATAAACATCTTATATTAGTTGCAAAAAGGGAATCAAGATAGAATATAGATTCTTAATTATTATATATAATTCTGACGGATACAATTATTTGGTCATTTGATCGAATGAAAACTATTATAAGTTAGTTTAACCATGAACTAAATGCCATATGTTCTACTAGAAAATGATACCCGTTTATCTAATAATAGAGGGAATAGCTGTCTTTCTTTTTTTTCTCGCACGTCGAAGGACTAAGAACTACCTTGAAAGAAATGCCATTATGGTTCTTTTTTTTTATCACTGTGCTTCCCTACGGTTCTCACCATACATAGATGGTGATAGGCGTTCGTGATTATTGTACGATCAATACATAAAAGAAAAAATATATATTTTTTCTTTCATTTTCACGTTTGATTGAGATATAAAAACCAAAATAGATAAGAATTAAACTATTATTCGTTCCGCTTGTCGACATTTATTGATTTACTGTATTAGTAACAACTACTATTTAGACCGCTTTACATTCTCAACTATACGTCTTATTTCATCTTTGTTCTAATACTATGGCTCGTATTCTTTTTCATCTACTTGCTTTACAATTAGTGTTACTTGTAACCGTCTCTGGTTTATTTACTAGTAGCGGAGTTAAACATGCAACTAAATATGAACTTCAACAAAAAGTTCTTACACTTGGTTCATCATATACAGTCAAAGATGATCATGGTAAATCAGTTTATAAAGTAAGATTTATTTATTTCAAATCATTACAATATTATTTAATATATATATATGTATTTAGATAGGATTTAAAACAATAGGTCTTGGTAAACATCTTCAATTAACTGATGTTGGCGGTCAAAATGAATATTATTCTAGTATGAATACGATAATAAACAATCTTTTTTTTATTTTTTTGTTCTAGTTAAACATGTTCTTAATCCACTTGGTTTAGCTAAATATGAAATTCGTAAAAATAATCAAGTTATTGCTGATGTCAAGTAAGTTTTATAATTATATTTAAATTGTTTATTTGAATATAAACTATAAATATAGACGTAAAATGAATCTTATTGGTGGTAAAAAATTCAATGTTAAATCAAAAATTGGTGACTTTAAAATTGAAGGCAATTTTCGTTCACGTGAATTTAAAATAAAAAAAGATAAACATCTTGTTGCTACTATTTCAAAGAAATTCTTTGCAATGGGAGATAAATATGGTGTTAAAATTGAACAAGGTCAAGATGTTCCATTCATTTTAGCTTTAGCTATTGTTGTTGATGAAGTAGCTCATGGTTAAATCAATTCAAGTCTTCTATGAACTTTCTTTTCTTTTTTTTTTCATATGTAGTGCTAATCTTTTTTTTTCTCTCAAAAATTATAAATAGAAATAATTGAAATTGAGAAACAAATTCGAAATGTTTATTACCAATAGAAATCAATAACCAAAAAGATCAGTTGTATTGGCATGAATATGACCTTTGTTCTTATCATATTTTGCAATGTTTTCGAGTCCATCAAAACAACTAACAATAAATAGATTGTAAATGTAATGGTAATAAATCATGCGGTTTTATCATATAAAGTTCATTTACATTTAATATCAATAAAATTTTACAATATTCTCACATCTTTTATAAGATACAATAATGAATAGAAATTGTATAATATTATATCGCATAAAAATATCTTGTTTCGTAATGACTACATTTGTTTATTAGATTTGAACAAATACTTTTGTACTATAAAATTCCCTTCTCCCAAAAACTAGCTTGAGATTCTCATCTCCCCTTATCCCCCCTCTCCCTCGAAAATAACCATTTCCCATCAAATATCAATAAAATTTCATTTTTTTTCTAGAATATAAATCATTTTTCCATGTCGTGATGTATGTTGAATATGCGAATTAAATATAATATCTTTGACAGAAAACCATTGATCACCATCAAAGATTTCTTTTACTTGATCATAAAGTGTATCAAACATAATTAAATGACTTGGATTTATATCATGTAATCTTTGTTTTAAAGATTCAATTGGATTTAAAAAAAATTTATCAGCTTCATCCATATAATCATTTGTTCTATTATTTAAATTTGGTTCACATGTTAAAAAATTTAATTGAATATCATCTCGATGAATAAAACTATAATATGGTGTTGAATGACATGGCATAAGAAAATCTACGGATAGTATTTGTTGATTTTCATTTGATAAATTATTTCGTATATAATTCATAACAGATATTTGTCCTTGACGATCAATCAATGAAAAATAAATACCAATGAATATATGTCCAATAAATGATAGATAGAAAATCCATCGAAATTTATTCCATTGAAAACGTTTTAAACACCAATTAATTCCATTTGCTTCTAAAATAAATAATATTGGTAAAATTTGTGTTAAAAATCGAAATTCTTTATGAACATTTAATGTATAAATGAATATTGTAAAGAGAACTATTATTGTTAAACGTTTCTCTTGAATTGCACCAAGAAAAAGAAATGGTAAACGATAAAAAAATATCATTGGAAGACCATTTGTTATATACCAAAAGATATTATTTATACCATAATGTGATGAAATTGAATTTGGATGAAAAAAATTGATATATAAAAAATTCAATGGTACAAATGTCCACTGATTATACATATAACTATCTAATAGACTATTGCAAATATTTAATAGAGTAAAACATGTAAATGCTTGAATAAGAAATTGTAAACGTTTGGAAGTTTTATATAATATATATGGATATATAATAACAAATGGAATGGCAGATGTTGGACGAAGAATAAATGATAAAGAAACAAATATATGAAAAGCAATATTTGATCGAGTTGATCGAAAACTAAAAAAAGAAATCAATTGATTTTTTTTTATGAAAAAACATTCAAGCATAACATCAATTTTTTTGCAATTTAAAACAGTAGGAATCAAATCAAAACTGATTCTTTTGATATCTACTACAAAACTATGTCTTTTTTTTCTTAAAATGTTTATTTTACACCCCTCAGGAATCTCATTAAGCT